AGAGAAGCAGTATAAGCATTAGGAGAAAGGGGTCAACACAAGCATAGGCGATCATTTGACAAATGGACACTGCATTGCTCGTAGGACCCAAAGTAACAAAAGCTCTTAGATGAACCATCATAAAGTGAAAACCAGTGTCCATTATGAGAGTATTTTCTAACTGGTTCACATTTGCTAAATATTAGGTACCATATATTCAAATTTAATTTTAAACAGGACCTAAAAATTTAATTCATGTAGCAGGGACCTAGTAACAATATCAAACACTAAAATTCTTTTCGTGACCAGAGAAACTTGTTTGATTACATGATTGTTTTGTCTTTAGTATTTAGACTTTGCCCTTAAGTTATCTAATTTAATGGAATAAAGTCTAAAGAAGAACCTAAACATAAGGAATAAGAATGTGTTATTGCTGAGTTTAAAGTTAGAGTTTCTCCCTCTTGCAGTAAAGGGAATCAATTTCTTCTAAAAGGAGGAAAGCTATATTGTTAGACTTCAAATTAGTAATTACTAGAAATAATTACTAGAAATTATAAAAATCTATAATGATATTTCTTTAACAAATTTTAAAGAGGGCATCTTGGTTGAGAGTAATTTTTTTTTTTTTTTAATGGCTTTTTCCCAACCCGGGGATTTCTTTACCATTAAACAAGAGGTTGATGTCTTTCCTTTTTAAATAAGCTCTAAGCACTAACTTACTCAGACTTTCTTGCTGGAGGCCACTAAGAAAGAGATGAGCATCAGTAGTGGGCATGGTTTCTGTCACAGGCTATCAGCCTTTTCAGTGTATCCACAAAGCCTTCTGGTCAGAGAGAGGTAGAGGTTGTCAAAGTCATCTTTCCCACTGCAAGATAACAGAAGTGATAGTAAGCACTCAGTCACGAGTCATTTGTTGCCACTAAGGACCAGCAGCATTCAGGTCTGAATTGAAAGCCTGAAATTCTGAAAAGCTGATGAAGGTTAATGCCTCCTATTTTGCAGTTCCTTTCCCTTGCAAGGGTAGATTACAAAATTATAATCTCTTAGTTATGATTAGCTTTGTGACTATCTCTGTGTTGAATTTTCAGTTTGTGTTTCCCTGTCCTCTGTGATAACTTAGGTCAGAGGTTGGGCTGCAGGCCTCCCAGTGGTATGAAGAGCAATAATACAATTTCTAGGCTGAGCCAAAAACAATAGTAACCTCAAAACTGGGCCTGGACTCGGTGCAGAGCTCATTTTCATTGGCCAGACTTCTTTCTTTTCAGTGGCCTGGACACTCATTCATCTTGATCCACCTGAATGCTATACCTCTGTAATCTAATACTTGCATGCTTTGAAAATAGTTAAGAGGCAATAAAATGATTGAAACTTTCCAAATTTGGGGACGTTATATGAATAAAATAGCTAGGTAGTTAAAAGAAAATTTTACTCTGCATCTAGATATTTTACCATTGTTTGACACATAGCTATGTGTTTAAAAGTACTAATATTCATTTAATTCTAAACATTTCTTTTTTCTAAGATCAATTTCCTCAAAATACTACACACTCCAGAATCAGACCATGTGGGTTCAAATGTGACTCTATGACTAATTTAAATGAGTGACCAATGATAAATATATTAATAATCAAATGATGAACACCAAATTTCTCCAAAACTGAGTTACATGAATAATAAACATTTATTATCTCACGTTGTATCTGTGGTTCAGGAATTCAGGAGCCACTGGCTCAGGGTCTCTCATGGGAGTATAGCCAAGATATTGGCAGGGGCTGCAGTTATCTTAAGGTCTGTGTCTAGGGCCAGAGTATCTTTTCATTCACAAATCGGGCAAGGTAATGTTCATTGTTTTTAGGAGGCCTCAGTTCCTTACCATGTTGGCCTCTCACAGAGATGTGTGAGTGTCCTCCTGGCATGGCAACTGGCCTCCCCTAGAATGAGTGATCCAAGAGAGAGCAAGGAAGAATCCATAAATGCCTTTTATAAACTAGTCTCACACATCAGACATCATCACTTTCACTGCATCCTATTTGTTGAAAGCAAATATTAAGTTCAACCCACAGTCAAGGGGAAGGAAGTGAGATTTCACCTTTTGAAGAGAGAAGCTTAAAAAAATTGTAGACATATTTAAAATCAACATAACAAGTTGATAAACTTCTAAGTGACTCAGTTTTGTTACCTATAAAATGAGGATAATAATAGTACTACCTCATAGGATTGCTGTGGAAATTCAGTGTAAAGTGCTTAGGCTAGTGCTTAGCCCATTGTAAGTGCCATACAGTGTTAGTTTTGCTTTTTTTTTTTTTCCTGCTATATCTAAGAATGATTAGACAGAATATCGTCTAGCTAATTTATACCAAACTGGGTCTGGCAGAGTCCTTGAAACTGGTAGGAACATTTTTATTTTTATATTTCCAAGGGCAATTTGCATTTCCTTCAAAACATCTTGAGTTTGTAGCTAGTTCAGACCTGTGGCACCCGGAGTTTTCCCCTATTTCAGTAAATGGCCCACTATTTACATGGTAAATCTCTTTAAGTTTCTTGACTCTTCACATCTGACATTCAACCCGTAGACAAGTCCTGCTGGCTCTACCTTCAAAATATATCGAGTCTCTAACTCATACTCCTCAGCCCCAGGGCACCACAGAGTCCAGCTCACCACAAGCATTCATCAAAGCTTCCTTTCTTGACCCCACATTCTATTCTACATTGAACAGAGTGGAAAAAAGGAAAATAAATGAGATCGCTCTATTTCCTTTTTTAAAAGCCTTGCAATGGATTGCTTCAAAAACAAACAAACAAAAAATTCAAGGTCCTGCCTCTACAACGTCATCACCTAGACACTTGGTTTAGATCACTCAGCTACAGCCTTGATAGATTTCTTCCTGTCCCTTTAGCTCACCAGGACCTTTGCACTAGCTCTTTCCTTTGCCTTGAATGCTCTTTGCATGGCTTCTTATTTTAGTCAAGTACCTACTCAAAAGTTGCCTCTTTAGAGAGACCTTGCTGAGTAGCCTGCCAGAAAGCACCCTAAATCCCATTATACTCCCTTAATATGATGACGCCCCCTCCATGTGACACCACATTAAATATTTGTGTCTTTTTTGTCTGCTTCTCTCACAAAACTGTGAGCTTCATAAGAGCTGAGAGTTTGTCTCATTCACTGATGTACAGCCTGTACTATGAATGGTGTCTTGCACATAGTGGATACTCAGTACATGTTTACTGAGTGAATGAATAAACAAGCAGTTATGAGTCAATTGATTAATCCAGAAGTCACAAGGTAGAGGCTAGTCCAACTCACAGATATATTTTGTTAACACAATGTTTTTTAAAAATATGACTTAGTTGACAACTTTTATATATTATGCGATTTCTTACAAAAATTCTTTTTTTTTTTTTTTTGGCTAAAAATCAAGAGATATTTTTATTTGGAGTCCCTTAGCAAAAATCATGCCAGGTTTATTATCAGCTATTCCTTTTAGATAAGATTTACCCCAGACCCCACCACTCCCAATTATCTTCCCAACACCAATGACTTTCTTACACCCAGCTCCCTCCACAGCTCTGTGTTACCTGCCTGGCTCTGTAGGCTTTCAGGGCCCTAGAATAAGCATATTTGTTGTAAGTTTGTCAATATTTGTCCTATATGTCAATGTAATTTTTCATGCTTAACTTAGAAATGAAATTAGTCCCATGTTGGAGTTCCAAGTCATGTTCATTCTGAAGTGTACATTTCAACCTTTGGTGCCATTCTTGTTACAAAACAATCACCCAGCTTGACAAACTCCACAAAGAACCTTTGCTAGTGAAAGAACGAAAAGACGTAATTGTGTTTCAAAATAGTTTTCACTTTTGGAAGATTATTTTTTAAAACATTAAAAAATAAACATAGATTTGAAATACTTTATTTTCAAAACCTCATGAACATTCAATCCAGATGTTTACCTAAAGTGATTCATTTACCAGGGTGGGGCACACTCAGTTGTCTTAAGAAAGAAAATAACTGAGTTTAACAATAGATAGTTGCATAGTCTGAAGTCAGATCAAGAGAAATATATGTATAATAGCAAGAACTGTGTCTTTTGCTCATTGGATAGCCAGTGCCTATATACATTAGGGGTTTGAATATTTATTAAGCATCTGTTATGCGTCAGGACCTATATTAGGCAGTCACAGAGCCCATAGTCTGTCAAATACTTTAGAGGTGCTAGACAGCAAAAACTACACAAAACAAACAAGTAAATGTTATAATATAAGCAATAGGAGTTGATAAGTGCTATAGATAAAAAGGAATGTGGACGAGGGAAAGGGAGATGGGAACGTCTGGCTGGTTACTATTCTTCATAGTGTGGTCAGGGTAGGTAGTGTTGAAAATATGAGACTTGAGCAAGACCTGAAGGATGTAAGGAAGTTTGCCTAGTAGATCTGTAGGGAAGGAGCCTTCCAAGATAAGGAAAAACCGAAAGTAAAGCCTGAAGGCAGGAGTGTGCTTCGTGCGGTCAAGGAGCAGCAGCATGCCTACCCTGGCCGAGTTACTATGCAGTCTAGTAGGTTGACCAGAGTAAAGAATAAGTATACAAATGCACACGCTATTCTCCCTCACTAAGGAACATTTATCACCTATTTTTAATTAGGCTATATTTTGATTTGGCCAAGAACTGAGCATTAGAGACTCCATGACAATATAGGAAAGAGATGTATTCAGTGCCGCAGGTTCAATTGTGTAAGAGGAACTTAAGCAGCTGGCTTCAATTGACCTTGTGGTGGAGATCCTGACCCAAAGTTACTCTAGATGCGTAACGAATTCTCTGGAATGGGTTGCATTTTCATTTTCCCAACACACTCTCCTGTTCCATGTATCAAACACTAGCGCTTTTCAAAGGAGTAGTCCATGAGGAAAAATATTAGAACTGAAATTTATTTTACTCTTCATGTTAATTACTCTCCACTAAGTACTTCAGTTCAGAGGGTGCCTGATGGAAATCTCCCTAACAGAGCTCCATATGTCCTTATTGCAGCTTCTCGCAGAGGACTGGCCCTTTGGAGTTGAGATGTGTAAGCTGGTGCCTTTCATACAGAAGGCCTCCGTGGGAATCACCGTGCTGAGCCTGTGCGCTCTAAGTATTGACAGGTAATACTGCACATTTAAGTCAGGTATATCCTGAATAGTATTCTAGGGATGGCTATGTCACTCAGAAAATAAGCTATGTAATTCAACAAAGCCAGGCTCTGCCCACTTGACAAGTAATTCTATTTTGCACTTCAGATATCGAGCCGTTGCATCTTGGAGTCGAATTAAAGGAATTGGGGTTCCAAAATGGACAGCAGTAGAAATTGTTTTAATTTGGGTGGTCTCTGTGGTTCTGGCCATCCCTGAAGCCGTGGGTTTTGATATGATTACCACTGACTACAAAGGAAGTTATCTGCGCATCTGCTTACTTCATCCCATTCAGAAAACAGCCTTCATGCAGGTACCTTTTACTTCTCTTTTTCCTTTTAGTTCTTGCCTTATAAATATTTAGCTATTTTCCCCTTGATCTCTCCTTCTTGGGAAGCTTGATTTATGACTGTCCTTGGCATAAATTAAGAGTGGGACCCAGGACTGAGGGGTTAACAGTGACTAATGACCGAAGCTTCAAGAAGCTGGGTCACTACCTCTCCAAGAATCCCCTGGCACTCAGGGATACAGATAAACGAGGTTCACATGAAAGAATTGATCTGAATTTATAACTTTTCTACTCAAATTCCCACAAAGACTGACAACGGTGACATTTTCTGCATAAGACAACACAACAGTCATTAGAGAGAATAGATAGATGGTTCAGTGACTGATCAAATAGAAATCACCCTGATATGGATGGATTCTGAAAGGCCTGACCTCCTTCTGAAAAGAAAGCTGCCAATGCAAAGAAGTTTTCATCTTGGCCATTTATTCTAGAATGTTTAATCAGGAGATAGGAAAAGAATGGCAATGCTGGTCATCGGAAGATAGATTTTAAGTGTAAAAAGCTCTTTCCAGCAGCATGGGTGAAGAGGAGTTAATGCAAAGAGGGCTCATCTAAGTGTCACCTGTAATTATTTTCCATTTTACATATAAGAAGACTATACAAAATTTTATGAATTGTACATATATCATGGTAATCAAAAGAATAAAGAGGGACATCAATGTGAAATTGAAAATGAGATTGCTGTTTTCTTGTTTCTTATTAGTTAAAGGGGAAAAGGTACTGCATAGATTGCATAAATTCTGCTCCAACACAGATATATCTGGAGCAACAATAAAAAAAGAGAGAGAGAGAGAGAGAGAATAGAAAAAGAATAAGAGAAAGAGCATACGTCCTAAGCAGCTTTGATTTTTTTTAATTAATAGGTTAGATTTATATATTACTGAGCTAAATGATTAACAAAGACCATTTCATATGTTTTTCCCATTAAACAAACTTGTTAAATAGTGAAAATTTTCCTTTAACACTATGATGTCCTTACATATTCAAATGTGGTATTTAATACAAAAAATACCTTCAGGATAACTGGCTTATATAAAAACAAAAATATCTGAATTACCAGATATTTTGAATTTTGCCCAACTGCTTAAATTTAATGCATGATTATAACATACTGCCTAAAGAATTAAAATTTTTTAGGAAAAGTTTGTTTTATTGAATATAATTATTTAATTATTTGTTCAGTAGATATGGCCTAAAAGATTCTACATAGTATTTATGAAATGGATCTACTCTAGATGATAATTATTCCTTGATGAATATTTTTAATTTAACATTTGTATATAAATTTATTTTCAAAAGGAGTATTAATAAAATTCTCTCTTTCCCATAGTTTTACAAGATAGCGAAAGACTGGTGGCTATTTAGTTTCTATTTCTGCTTGCCGTTGGCCATCACCGCATTTTTTTATACCCTGATGACTTGTGAAATGTTGAGAAAGAAGAGCGGCATGCAAATTGCTTTAAATGACCACTTAAAGCAGGTAAGAAAATAGAAATATTTGCTAACTCATGATAGTAATTATGATTGTGAATAACATAAATATGATGATAACAAACTAAAATTACTGCACAGTAGAGCATACTTTTTCTGGTATTTTTGAATATACAAAGACTTTAAAATGTTATCTATTTAGATATTTTATATAATCTAAAGGATCCAGAAAGAACCATAACTTTTTAAAAATGAATCACTAGCCTTTTTAATTCTAATTCACATTAACTATTCGGTTTAAAGCTGTGTCCTGAATTTTTACAAATGCCATTGGCTTTTGATAAACAATATTAAATATTCTATTTGGGGAAAAAGAATGCTGTAATTATAATGAGCCATCTTTTCAGGGTTTGACTATGGTTTTATTTCAGAGACGGGAAGTGGCCAAAACAGTATTTTGCCTGGTCCTTGTCTTTGCCCTATGTTGGCTTCCCCTTCACCTCAGCAGAATTTTGAAGCTCACTCTTTATGATCAGAATGATCCCAATAGATGTGAACTTTTGAGGTAAGAAAAGTAAAATAGAGATAGTTTTGTAATTAAATGCCAAGCACAAGTTTTCCATCAATCCTTTTCATAGGCAGAAAGACAGAGTATCATTTTTCTGATCTTTAGGGAGCAAGTAAGATTCTCTTTTTACTTTCATTCCTATTGAAATGAAGGAGTAAAAGGAACTTAAGAGAACACTGGGAATGGAAAGCCAGAGTTGTCCAATGATGAGTGTGTGGCATGATTGAAAATACCAGGTCTGATTCTCCTTTGCACATTGTAAATCTTTTCTTTTCAGCCAGCTTCAGCACTTTCAAATGCGATTTTACTTTAAAAGAGAGAATTGGGCATGATGGGGTGTTGGGGACAATGTGTGTAATGACAGAGACAGAAAGGGAA